GCAAAGTCAGAGGTTAAATAACTTCCCTGAGATCCCATAGCTGCAAAGGAGCAGTAAAGAGTTCTGACCCTTGTCTGTGACCTTGGAGGCGGCTGGGCCTGGAGTATGGGACAGTGTACCCTACAGGAAGTTTATGTGTCCCCAGTGAGAGGATGCTTGCTAAGGGGCATGTCCCTTATAAAGCATCACGGAAGTCCAAACGTTCCAAGAGCACTGACAGACGATCTGCCAGCCTGGCTTCCATAGTGGGGAATGAAGCCCTCGGGTGTGCTCTCCGTGCTGGCCGCGCTGGGCCCGCAGAGTCGTGTTCCGGTCTCCGTGGCATCCAGCAGCGGGGCGCGGGACAGGCTGTGCAGCGGCTGCCACTCCACGCTGCGCGTCTGCAGAAGCCCGACGGGTAATGGCCTGGGGACAGCGACCGCCCCAACCCCACTCTGCTCGCACCGCCCCGTCGTCGCCCTTCGTGCGTCCCCGGGGTACCGTCGCCGCCTCCCCTCCCTTCTCCTTGAGGGCGCTGCCGTCTGGTTGGGGGCTGTGGGTTCGGGCCATGCGCTGGCCCTGCACCCGAGGGCGCAGCCTCTTGCCAAAACCTCCGTCAGAAGAGGCTTTGGCCCTTATGGTCGGAAATGGGAGGAATTTTCACCAATTCGTGTTTGGTGGGGTTGAATTTTGCATGCTGCGTTGCTTTAGAGCCTTCGACCAGCCAGGCGGGTCTCTTTTTGTTACACCACGTCCCTGGAAATCATCCCGCGATTTGCGAAAGCAGGAACAGCGAAAGTGCGGATTGCGTTTCTAATAAGGAGTCGGACACGTTACAGGTATTGCCAAGCGTCGTAAAAGCAAAGATGACAACTACACAATTATATACAGAAAAGTCGTCGCCGAGAACGATAAACTCCAGCCTCACGAGACAAAGGGATCTCTCAGCTCTTGGAAGCCCAGTACCGCTTAGCAGGATCTTGCACGAAGGAGGAGTTAAAGGGACAGACAAGGTTAACGTGCACATTATTTCTTCTGGAGAACATACAGCAAGAGGTAGTAGCAATGCTACGGGGAACCCTTAGAAGAGGCTACTTGAAGTTTCTAAGTACCTGTGAAAAGACAGAACAGCCGCTGCAGAAATTTCTCAAACTTCTTTTGTAGGAAAGTTTTTGCTCCTTATTCTATCTAGATGAAAATTTTTACTTTGAAAACCTGCTCAGGGATTCTATCGATAAAAACAGCCAACTACAGAGCTGGTGATTTACATTTAAGGCCACTTTTTATTACTTAGCTTGTAAGATGCTTATTTTCAGTTACAATTTAGTTGAGGAAAGATTCTATTATAACACAAAAAATAAAGTTTTAGTAAGAGTTTTGTAAATATTATGATCTAAGTTACACATACATACCAAACGTCTTCAAATATAATACTAGAAACCGTTCACTGCTCTTAGTGTTATTTGAATTTCTAGCTGACCATAAAAAGTCTTGCTAGGACATTCTATAATGCAAAGAAAAAAAATATTTTGGGCAATAAGAAATCTTAGAATGCATAAACTTCAGCTGTGCAGTGTAATGATATAAAATTAGAATGAGAAATACATTTTCAGACTTTAATGTACAATGCCTTCCTGTTAGAGGGTATTTAAAAGTTATTTAGAGAATATCCTGAGCTCCATGGAAGTGGGGGTGGGGCAGTGGCAAGAATCTACTGATCTTTACAAAAACATTTATCTTTTTAAATCATGCAATACTTTGTAAAAGAATTTATTTGGTGCAGAGCCACAAATCAATGTTACAAATACCAAAAGTAAAGGTTCAAAAGAAAAATATTCAACAAACGGACTTTTTTTTTTTTTGTAAAGATTTTATTTATTTATTTGACAGAGAGAGATCACAAGTAGACAGAGAGGCAGGCAGAGAGAGAGAGAGGGAAGCAAGCTCCCCGCTGAGCAGAGAGTGCGACGCGGGACTCGATACCAGAACCCCGAGATCAAGACCCGAGCTGAAGGCAGCGGCTCAACCCACTGAGCCACCCAGGTGCCCGCAAACGGACTTTCTTTCAAAAATACTAAAGAAAGTGTTAGTAGAAAAAAAAAAAGCCTATATTGAAAAGAGACTTAAATCTCATGAATTTAATCTTTTTAAATAATGTTTGAATTCTATTTATAGTTCTAATTCCAGGTGTTCTTGTATAAGAAATCTATGATCTAGCCACTTAACAAACATGGAAAGTCAGGATGGGTCAGAAATATTCTGGCTGGATCTTTTCCCTTTTCTATTTTCTTTTGAAACTTAAGGTATCTTTTCTGTTAATTTCATGGGAAAAATAATTCTGTAAAATAAAGTTTAAAAAGGAGAAAGTGAATGATAGAAATGTTTTGGAATTTTATTTTATTTCCCCCCCACCCCCCCCGTTTTGGAATTTTAATAAATGGATTTGAAGATGGATTAGTAATGCTTGACATTTTATCATTGTCATGGATTAATGTAGTGCCAACAGGGTAATTGAGCTTCTGCAAATACGGATGCAAGAGAGTAATTGTCTTGCATGCTGCAGATTAAAACATAATATGAATAAATATATTAGAGCATTTGAGTTTTAAAAGAAACTTATGGAACTAAAAATTTTTCCATTAAATCAAGATAAAAATAATTTCAGTGAGATTTTCAAATAATTAACAGGCGAAAGAAAAAACATATCTAGAATCTTGACATAGGGAGAGGTGACGTCTACTTTTGTTGCACATCCTAATGCTTTCAGTGACTGGCTAAATAGAGAGCACCCTTTCACACTCCCACATCCCTGTGAGGGAGAAGGACCCTAGACTTCAGAGTCATGGATACCTCAAATAGCAACACAGTGGAACACCTGCTTTCATTTTTTCATGAATTGAAATCAGAACACTACTCTGAAAAAATACTACGGGCACTGTTTTATCACAGAATTTTACTTCTTTATAAATGAGTGGTTTTCAAGGAGGTGAATCAAATTTCACACTCCTACCCATGCACTACATGGGCCAACTAGACTATGGTCAATTCACAATATTGGCATCTTCATCAACATGGGGTGGATAAAATCCAATTTTAAAATGTAAAAACTAAATATAATTATAGCTCTCACACTCATCTCCAACCCCAGTCAAAATCAAGTTGTGGGTAAATCAGAAGCTTACTATTAACATTTATCATGGGAGAACCTAAAGGACCTGTGTTCACATCCACATCACGTCCACTTTGGCTGTCTGTTAACTGAATTGTGACCAAAGCTTTTTTTTTTTTTTTAATCAGAATGCTTTTCAAACTAAGATTTGTTGGCAGCCCTTCTCACCCCAGAGAACTAGGTCCTACTGCATGAAGCCTAAGGCATCCACTGTAGGTGATGATCAATCTTCTCTCCTCTGCAACCTACAGTGGCATGAGTTATGTCCTAGCCTGGGGGGAATTGAGAAAATAGCCACTCAAATAATTTTCTGTAATGCTCAAATCTGTTTGAGAAAAGCCTAAAGGAGATTTATGGGAAGCTGACATCTTTCAAGCTGAGGAGATTATCTAAGTTCATTCTGCAGCAAGCATAAGGCTCTAATGAACTAGTTGCACACATTTATCTGAGAATGGGAATTGCAGTCTTCTCATCAGGTTGCTAGTGGGTCACTCTTTACCATATAAAACACAAAGTATGTTTTGGAGTGTAACCCCAGATAAGTCATCGGGAAATTGGTGTTGATTTACACAAAGGAATGAATCAAATTGGCAAGTGTTTGGTGTTTTGCTGAATAAGGGCTGACAGCACTCAGTAGAAGTTGGAGTGTGAGAAGGACCGGGCTCAGCATTACCACAGTTCATCGGTTTTCAAACAAACGGCGATTCAGACACAACAGCAGGGTGTGCAGTAGAGAAAATTCTGCCACGTTCCAGCCACACGCATGTAGAGAAAGAGCCTTCGCTGTCAGTGCAGCAATCCGTGTGGGTGACAAATGGGGCACACGTCCGAAATCACATGTACTTACACAGGAAGTAAAACCCAGATACTTTTATTTACACTTTAGAAAGCAAACAGGCTTTCCACAAAGAATGGTTAGAAAACTCAAAGACTTTTATTTTGTACTGTTAAAAAAATGTAGGTCATTGATTCATCTGTATAAATAATTTTTCTGGCAAGAGTAGTTAACTTTTAACCTTCCATTCAAAAACTTCACAACTTGAAGTACTTGAAATGCACTTAAATTTACCCTGCCTTTATTATTTTTTTAATGGTACATTCGCATAGCAATTAGCTGACTCATAAGGTCAAAGAATTTCTTTTAAAAAAGTTCAAATTTTTACTAGTACGTAATGGGACAAATTAGCAGTCCCTTGGTCAGTATTCATTTTAATAGTACTATTTTTCTTTCATTTCTTCTGAAAGAAAGTGGGGGAAGATAGGCATTCCTGTACAATTCAGATCAAAGCACAAAATGCCATTTTAAAAATAAATACCTAAGGCATACCTGCCACACTTTCATTTCAATTTCCTCAGCTGTTTAAAAATTATCTCAAGTGTTGCTGCATTTCTCCCTGCTTTCTTACCAGCAACCTCTGTGGCTCTCGCCTGCACTGACTCTGCCTCTGGAGGGTAGCTGCTCATTGTCACTTGTCACGAAGCATACAGTTTGATATCCTGGGCTTCACAGGCAATTTCAGAAACTCAAATGACACTATATGGACTTGCTCTAAATCTTTTTTTAGTGCAGTTTGGCAAATATCCCAAATGAAGTTCGACTCTAAGTTCAAGGTATCAAACAGAGATAGTGCTAAGTGTGTCTATGACTTTCTGGGCAGCCCAGAGGCTCTGGAGAGAATAGGAATGGAAAACCCAATTGTCCCGAGCTGAAGTGACTGCAGACACCTGTTGGTTTACCACAGCAGAACAGTTACCCACAGAGACAGCAGGAGCCCAAGGCTGGGCAGCAGCACCTGCAAAGGTGGCCCAGGTTGCTGGACTCTTGGGTTGTTGGGAATATTTTTAAAGCCCCTGCACCCACTTTGCCCCTACCTCCTCATCTCAGCAAACGTGGACGTTCTCTCCACTCTACCTCACAGTGTTAAGAACAGCAAGCATGGACACACAGAAACCTGCTATCTTCCGGTTGATCTTCCCTTCCTCCACTCCAGAGCTCTCTCACTCCAGGCTTTCTCTACTTGCAGACTGGAACTGCACTTTGGTTTTTGGTTGCTAGAAAAGAGGTTATTATAAAGCTGTCTGGAGAGACCACCACTAGATGGCCAAGTCATTGGGTCTGGCCCGACTGCCACTGGACTTACTAGCCTTGCTTGATCGTCCGGGGTCTGCTGGGAGCAAGGGAGGCACATGCATCTCCACTGCGGTGGTCACTGGCTGCTCCTCCCCATCATCGGGAGTCACTTCCAATTTGCTCTCTCCCAAGCTGCTGCCGTTCCCATTCTCCAACAGGCCAGGTGCACTGCTTCCCACACCACCCTCCTGAGGGAGCTCCTTGGTGCTGCCTGTAGGGCTCAGGGATGCAGAACCTGAAGCTGGAAGGGAGGCCTTTCTAGCAGAAGTCTGCTGCTCAGCCTCCTGGTTGGCCCAGTTCTGTTCTGTCATTAGCAGGTGGTGGTTGCCGTTGTAGAACTTGGCAGGGTGGTCCTTCCCAGGGACATCGGACAGGGCTGCCATGTCAAAGTCTGCTGCTGGTGGAGGGGCCTCGGGGTAGCCTACCCCTGTGGCCTGTCCCAGAGAAGAGGCAGAGTGAGCATAGTAAGGCGGGAATCCGATGGTAACCGTGGGCGGGGCCGAGTGGGAGGGGAGAAGGAGTGGGCTTACACCCCCAGGTTTTGTGGCTCCCACCCTGGATTCAGGGGTGTCTGAGCGATAGTTGGTCATTCCTTGTTTAAGCTTCTTCCAGCCCAGGTGGTAGATCTCCAGCATGTTGAGTAAGAGGGACACGCAGGCCACTGCCAGCATGAAGATGATGAATATGGTCTTCTCCGTGGGCCTGGAGATGAAGCAGTCCACCGTGTTGGGGCAGGGCCACCGGTCACAGCGGTACAGCGGCTTCAGCTCAAAGCCGTACAGAAAGTACTGCCCAGCGATGAAGCCCACTTCGAACAGCGTCTTAAAGATGATGTTGAAGACGTAGGTCCGGAGCAGGGCCCCGGCAATTCGGATCTTGCCCCGGTCATCCCTCACCGGTGGCTTGTCCTTCTGGCCGTGGCCGCCCGACCCACAGCGTGCAGCCGGCCCGTCGCCCTTCAGCAGCTCTTCCTCCCGCTCTTTCTTCTTCTCTTCCATGCGCACGATGTGCAGCACATGGCCCAGGTAGATGAGGGTGGGCGTGGACACAAAGATGATCTGCAGCACCCAGAAGCGGATGTGGGAGATGGGGAAGGCTTTGTCGTAGCAGACGTTCTCGCAGCCGGGCTGCTGCGTGTTGCACATGAAGTCCGACTGTTCGTCTCCCCACACCTCCTCGGCTGCGGCTCCCAGTACCAGGATCCTGAAGATGAACAGGACCGTCAGCCAAACCTTGCCAATGACCGTGGAGTGCTCCTGTGCGTTCTCTAATAGTCTCCCCAGAAAGCTCCAGTCGCCCATTGCTTCAGAGTGCTAACCTGCAAGGGAACATCGCTGGTTAATAGGAAGCCTAAGGTTGGCAAGCTGTAGGGTCCAAACACCCCTAGGGGCAGGCCTCGGCAGATGGCTCTGGAATATCGCTGCGGGGGGAGCTGTAGTCCCACTTCCAAACGAGGGAGGCGCTGCAGAGCTTTCTACAGCACGGTGTGCGTGTGCGCGTGCGTCCAGCATCGCGCTGAGCAGGGTTACATAAACGCCCTCAGTGTCCGCATAACACGGAACCATTATTACAGGACACAAGCGGTGACACCAAGGAGATGTCCAAGAGCGACTTAAGCCCTCACTTCAGCGATGAGGAAACTAGAGCTCCAAAGGGAGATGACTTGCCTGAGGAGAAAGTAACTCTCCCCTGGCTTCTAACCCCATCCTGCTCTCTTCCAGGGCCCAGTCTCCAAGGCAGCTCTGGTGCTGTGGGGTACACAGCTTGGGTCCTTTACTAACCTCGCCCTTTCTGTTCCTGTGAGATTACAGCAACTCTCCCCCTGATGAATCCATAACTTCTACCACACATTAACCTACTACCTATTATTTACTTTCTTTTTTCACTTTGCAAATGTTCCATACATGGTTAACTCACTGCACGTCCCCAGGCAGGAGCCCGTGTCTCCGTCTGTAAGATGTGACGATGGTCATTTGGTCGAGTGCAGTGAGCTGCATCCTAGGTGGAGGGAGGGCCCGCAGGCCTCCTCTGGGAAGGTAGCAGTGTTCCGCAGACATAGGGGACCAAGATTACAAGGTGTCCTCCCTGTCGCTACTGCTCAAACAGGCCAAATGCTTCCAGCTAAAGCCAAAAGAGCTCTGTTCTCTCATTCTTCGCTAAGGAAAGCGGCCCAAGCTGTAAGTGTATGTACAAGTTCCGGCAGCCTTAAAGAACACTCTTCTCTTTTTGAATTTTAAAATGTTTAAAAATATTAACTTTTATGAATTGGTTCAAAGGCAGATAAAACAAAACTTTATTCACCATGATCTAAAGAAAAGATAACTGTTAACCCTCTCCTAGAATAAACTTTCAAGCCTTTGTTTTGGTCATTTGAGGTCTTTAGAAAAATATTACCATTCACATATCCCACCAGCCTCCTTGTCCTATATTGTGACTGGTATCTGTTCTATTTGGCATGTTCTTGGCAGGTAAAATATTTTAATTTAGAAACTTAATTACCGAATGTGAAACAACGCACTCTTCCATGAAGGATGTCAGGTGTTACATACTAGGTTACATCCTGCTTTTCCTCAACCCAGCTCCTCCTTAGACAGTCACGGGGTCCCTAACTGGCATCTCTGCCCCTAGCCCCGGCCTCTCCCTTCAATTTGCTGGAGATTTTCCTCTGGGGCATAAGACAAAAGGCTTGCATAGTGTGGACCACGCATCAGTCCCTGAACCAACACTCTGGTGACACCAAACTTTCTGTGGTCCCTGGGACTCTGCGGTTAGGCCTTTGCACGTGCTAGCTCTTCAACTTTAAACTTGGCCCCAATCCAGGGACTGGCCTATTGACCTGTCACTTACCTCCACTCTCCCTTCAAGAGTGGCCAACTCAGGCTAACACGGGGGCCCTGTGTTTTCTCTTCCCCCTTATCATGGCCCTGGCTTAACGACTCTTGCTCCCTTTACATTCCAGGAGGTTCTTTCCATCCTCCCACACCTTCTAACATCCTCTCTCCTTGCTGTCCCTAGGCAACCACAGACTTCTGAGTTTCTGTAGAAAACCACCTTTAACCACCTTCACTTCTTGTGAACTTTCTCCTTTACTCTAGTTTTGAGCTTGGGGTTTGCATGTGTAGCCTTTCCTCCTTGATGTCTGCAGGCAGAACAGTTGGGCAATGTGCATTTCTGGAAATCTCTAAGAAAAGATAGGTGTGGGGGAAATACTTAATACTTAAATACTTAATACTTAATACTTCTTCCTGCTACCTTCCGAGTCTTGTTGAGCACAGCACAATGTGCTGAAAAGGAGTCAAAGCAACATGCCTGGTAGGTTCTCCCCATAAGCCTGGTAGCCCATAACACCATGAGGAAGGTCCACTTCTCACAGAGCCTGAAAGTGTTGCTGCCATTTCCCTGCAGGGCCAGGGAGGCAAAAAAGGAAATTTTTCACAGTAAAGACCCAGCCCTCCCCAAATGCCCATTCTGCACCTGTTGAGACAAATGGGACTAAGTAAGTACTTATGCAACTAGTAAATCAGATGAGGAGGGTAGGGCAGCTGCCTGTGGCATCTTGCTACTCTTCTTTGCTGGCTCAACCTCTCCAGAGTTCTTTAGGTTCTTTAGGTCTGGGTGCTGCAAAAACACTTTCAGATAGATACCCTTCAATTTCCATCATGACCTCTGATTGCAACCTACAGAAACACGATGTGTCACCATCCACATACTTAGCTGGTACTCTGGTAGTTTCTGAGACTCAGTAAGTCCTAAAGATGGGATGACTAAGAGTGTGTCCGAAATGGGGATGCCCATGGCTCATGCTCTGTGTGGTAGAATGCACTGGAAGACTTTTCTTGGAAAGGAGCTTAGTAATGTGTATGAAGAGATACAAAAGCCATGATATCTATAACCTGTAGTTCTACTCCTGTAACATCATACCAAGGAAATAATCACAGATTTTGATGAATGGATGAACATGGATATTTACTGGGAATTACTTATAAGAAGGAATAATTGGAAACAGAAGTGTCCACTAAAGGACGACAAGTTAAATACATAATAGTGCCCAAGGCTGACACCAGAATCTGGCTTAACCCAGATCCTACTCCCAGTCTTCCTCTCCCTTGCCTGCCTCCAACGTGACTGGGAAGGGAAATGCTTGCTTTCCTACTTCTTTCTGTTATATCCAATGAGGTGTAAGAAGTTGGCTTGGGGAGCTTCTGGGAAAGATTTTGGTTTCCTAATAAAGGGGCAGATGCTACCTTTGCTGTCCCTTCCCCCTTCTTCCCATAGTGAGTACAGATGTGATGCCTGGAGCTGGGCAGTCCCCTTGCAAGCATGTGTCAATAAGTGTGAGGGAATGGTCAAGAAAGTCCAAGGCACCTGTTGTGACATTATGGACCTGCTGGATCACCCCCCAATAGCAATCTCCAGATTTATGTGAAGGAAAAAACTCTATTTGTTTAAGTTAGGTTTTCTATGGCCTATAGACAAAAGAATTCCTAACTGATACACTCCCTTTAATTCTTTATACGATAAAGACAGGCATAAATGAAAAGCTATGGTTCATTCAAAACTACCAAAATAACATTCATAACTACTGAAATACAAGGTATTCACTAGATAAAATTTTTAAGATTGTCAATGACATGAAGAGATATTCATGCTGTAATGATAAATGACAAAAGCCTAATACAAAACTCTAGTCTGATACCACACATTTTACACATTCATCTATGCAAAAGGAAGAGCAAAAATGATACCTAAATGTTAACCACAGTGTTTCTAGAACTGGATGATATTCATTTCTTTTCCTATTCCTTTGCATTTTCATCATATTTATCATCATAAAGGATTAATGACCATGACTTACATGTTTCAAAGTTCTAGTTTTTGAAAAAGTCTGATTCCTCTCATTATTCCTTAATTACGGTTTCTACTCCATAGACCTCTTGATAAGCACACAAGAGACAAATACAGTACATGTAACATTATTGGCCCAATGTTAGAGGAGAATGGTCCTGGGATCTCTGAGATGCAACACGAACCCTGACAATGGTTATCACTGATGGCACAGAGCATAAATTGGATTCTCCTGCCATGGGCAGTCTGCCAGTTTCTCCCAAAGCAAGGACTAGGCTGTTTGTATCCTGTCACTCACTGCTGAGTCTTATTACTACTACACTTCACACTTTGGGTTTATTATTTTTTTTAATATTTTCTTTATTTATTTGATAGAGAGAAAGAGAGAGGGAGAGAGAGTACACAAGGAGGGGGAGCAGCAGGCAGAGGCAGAGGGAGAAGCAGGCTCCCCATGAGCAAGGAGCTGGATACAGCTCCATCCCAGGACCCTGGGATCATGACCCAGCTTAACCAACAGAGCCAGCCAGGCACCCCACAGTTTGGGTTTTGTTTTGGAAATGTATGAATGAATGAAGAAAAAAACTAACCAGAGGACCGAACCATCTATGGGAAGGCTAGCAGTATGGGTCGAGATCAGATCAAAATCAGAGCCTCCAAAGCAGAAGCGACATCCACCTCTCTTCAGAGCCATCCAAGTCTGCTCTAGACACCACACAGATGTTCTAGAGATGTTTTATCAATCTCACTTTTTAATCATATCCCTAAGACCAATTTCGTGAGAAAATGACAGGGGAGGAGTGAAGCACACCCAGAACAGCAAAGCTCTGCTGGCTAAGTACAAACAATAGACAACACAGGGGACCCCGTGATCCACTTTGGGCTGACATCAAGTGAGACAAACACGGTGACTGAATGAAATATCTTTCTGCTTGAAAGAGAAAAATGGGTTTATTCTTATTGTCAATGTACAGGGTCATTTCAGGACAAAATTAGAGCAGTTCCTGAAAGCTCATACTGGGAGTGCTTAACTTGTAAGGTGCATGTGAACTACTTATAGAGCACCACAGCTACAATACGGAGCACTTTTTAGAGAACTGGTCTACCTCAGTGGTAGCGGGATTCTGTATTACTTGGATGTGATATGAATCTCCACGAGATGACATTTAACTGGTTTTTACTTTGATTTCAATGAAAACTTAGATTCCGACATTACTGCAAAACAAGATCTTACATTGTATAGTTTATGTGGCTGCTTCCATGTTCTTCTGAGAGTTATACTTTCCCTCTCAAAGTTAGACAGTTTCCCCTTGGCCTTCAGGATATGCTGAGTGTCCCTTCAGATCCATCAATGGCTGTTTGTCTAGTTACAATCTTGTGCTCAACTCTGGGCTGCACATTCTGTTGAATAGAGTGGAGGTAAAAACATGACCTCTATCTTGAAATCTATTTGTGGAGATGGGAAACTTCAGGAAA